CGAGCCCCAGCCGACCGCGCCCGGTCCTGTCACAGGGAAGCCTGGGGTTCAGGGTTCTTACCTGGGAGGAGTGGCCGCTGGCTCCTGACTGCTAATTCCCGCACAGCCTCCGAGTGCCCGACGCCACCCCCACCTTGGTTCACGCTCAGCTAGGATTTACCTGGGCCTTTCCCTCGAGTGACTGTCCTTTATACACACACACACACACACATATATATATATATATATATTTTTTTTTTAGAGAGGTTTTTGCTATAGGGCGTGTGGGCTCGCCAGACAGAGAGACAGAGAGATAGAAAGCGAGAAATGACCCGCCAGGGGAGATGGCCACGTCGCAATCCCTTCTCCATTCTCCTCTCGGGATCTTGGGCATGCACGCACATGTGCCCGGCGTGAGTTTTAAACCACCGGGTCCAGGATGGGAACTGTGGTTGACTACATGGGAGTCCAGCGACATAGCCGTTACACTAACTGCTGGTCCCTCAAGTGACTGTTCTTAACGTTCCTTCTGCTCTAGATTCTTGGTTGAACCCCACCTTGGCCTTATCCTAACCTGCATTCCCGACCCTGCTCACCTACTATGTGCTCGGTGCTGTCACCTTTGATCATCCTGCTTCATAGTGCTGCACCTGCTCTTCAGGTGGCTCAGTCTCAAAAACATCCTCAGCTCCTCTTGCCATCTACAGCCATTAGAGAGGCTGTCCTGTGAAATGTGAGTGAGTAAGGGAAACTGTATCGTGGTCAAGCTTGGGGAAAGTTCCTTTAGATACAATTTAGGCAGTTATATTTATTTATTTAACACAGTAGGTGCGTTGCTAGATGACAAATATTACCATTGCTACAACATGTCCCACTCCTCTAGGGTTTTAGAAGTCCAGAGTTAAGGTTTGGTGAAACTTTTTGTAGTTACTATTTTAAATGGCCTCATTAGACTTCAACCTTCGAACTGTTATATTTCCCAAGGTGTCATGTCACCAAAATAAAGTTATAAGGACCCCAGCCTCGGGGCCCTCCTGGTTGCTCAGTATTTAGTGGAGCTCAGTAAACATTTGTTAAGAAAACCAAGAACTGTCAAGTATTTGATAGTAATTTAGCATCTCTATGTTCCATATTTCTAGATATGGATCAAAAACTTTCACAGCTGATAGAAGAGCTCACAACTTCAGGAGAACCCCAACTGAATCCTGAGAAAATGAAGGAACTGAAGAAAATTTGCAAGTATGTCTTAAAGCTTAACATTTTGTGATCCCTGGCTGGCCCGGAGAGCATATGACACACCTGAGAGATTGTGGGGCTTCCCCTAGGGTTCAGGCCCACTGCCCACCTACATCTACCTTAGCCTTTCCATTCGATCCGCCAGAGAAAGAGGCACCCGAAGAACTCACGTGGGACATTTTCCCAGAGCCAAGCAGGTCCCAGCTCTGAGGGTGTCAGGTCTGGGGCAGTGGTCCCCGGTGGGTGGTGTGTAATGTGGAGGAGAGCCCATCGGGATCCTGCAGTTGGTACGTCTGTTCATGCCTGTGTATGCGTGTATGGGTATGTGTATTAGGCATGCAGCTTCTGAGTCCTTGAGTATGCATATGCAACTTACAATGCGCTTGTTTTTCATAATTATTGGAAGGTGGAAAGGCGAGAATTAAGTAAGGGATAGGCTAGTTGCTTTTTCTTTAGGACAAGTCCATCCCTGTTTGTCTCCCTCAAGAAAAGCATTGGCTGGGAGCTCTGTTGAGCATCTTTAGTCTGCCAGAGAGCCAGGAAGTGAAACTCCTTCCTCTCAGACTCTGGAAACATGTCCTGCACATCTTGGAAAACCTCCAGACTATTCTGGTTTACAGGGCGCAATAGCCAGGTAGAGGCACAATGAAGAGGGGCTGAAGGAATCCATCCTTAAAGAGCTCGTCAGCCTTTCCCCTTCCGTGTCCTGCAGAGGGATGCTGTGGGGGAAGGGGGGGTGGCTTCCCAGCTAAACAGTATGTTGTGTCTGCAGAGGGCAACACACTTTGTCTGTAGGGGGCAGGATGGTAAATACTTTCAGCCTTACAGGCCGTCAGGTTTTCATTATAACCACCTACCTGTGAAAGCAGCTATAGACAGTGTAAATGAATGGGTGGGCTGTGTTCCAGTGAAACTTACTGACAGGCACTGATATCTGATAATTGTCAACCTCTTAAAAACATAGAAAACATTCTTGGGAACCAGCAGTTAGCATAATGACTATGTCGCTGGATTCCCACGGAGTCGACCACGGTTCGCATCCCAGACCCGGTGGCTTAGAACGCACGCCGGGCGCTTGTGCGTGTGTGCCCAAGATCCCGAGAGGAGAATGGAGGAGAAGGGATTGTGGCGTAACCATCCCCCCTGGGGGGGGTGATTTCTCGCTTTCTGTCTCTCTGTCTCTGTCTTTCTGGGGAGCGCATGCATCCTATAGTGGAAAAACCTCTCAAAAAAAAAAAAAGTAGAAAACATTCTTGGGAACCAGCAGTTAGCATAATGACTATGTCGCTGGATTCCCACGGAGTCGACCACGGTTCGCATCCCAGACCCGGTGGCTTAGAACGCACGCCGGGCGCTTGTGCGTGTGTGCCCAAGATCCCGAGAGGAGAATGGAGGAGAAGGGATTGTGGCGTAACCATCCCCCCTGGGGGGGGTGATTTCTCGCTTTCTGTCTCTCTGTCTCTGTCTTTCTGGGGAGCGCATGCATCCTATAGTGGAAAAACCTCTCAAAAAAAAAAAAAAGTAGAAAACATTCTTGGCTGTGGGCCATACAGGCGTAGGTGGCATGGGGAGCCAGGTGAGTAGATTGTAACTCTGTTCTGGAAGACAGGGAGGATGAAAATTGGAAGATGGCATGTGGCCCCTGCCACATGTGGATCCTGTGTCCTGGCACAGAGACCACTTACTTAATTATCCTTAAAACCTCAGGCGCTTGGGTCAGGCCAACTTGTATCCCCAGGTCTTCGGAGGAACAGCTTAGCCATGCCTATCGCCTGCTCATGACCCAGCTGAACCAGGAGCACGCCGAGATCCGCCTCTCAGCTTTCCAGATTGTGGATGAGCTCTTTGCCAGGTCTCACCAGTTCAGGATGCTGGTCATTTCTGACTTCCAGGAGTTCCTGGAGCTCACGCTGGGCACAGATCATGGGCAGCCCCTGCCACCCCCAAGGGAGGTGGCCCAGAGGCTGAAGCAGGCGGCCATCCAGGCAGTTGAAGGGTGGAATGAGAAGTTTGGAGAGGCATATAAGAAGCTCGCCTTGGGCTACCACTTCTTACGGCACAACAAAAAGGTAGGTGGATCCTGTGCTGTTCTCTCTTGGTGACACGTCACCCTGGCGGAGACGGGAGGAAATGCTCTTACTGGGTCTGAGTACAGGGTCAACACTAGGCGATGTACAGTAGGGGCCTAGATGGTCTTACCTGGGCACCTAGGTTGCTGAGCCAGCTGTGGGCGTGGGATGGGCGGGGCTGAGGGTAACCAGAGGGTCGGGTCTGGGACTCCCCAACAGGGGACGAGCAGATTCAAGATTCAGAGCTGAAACTCATCCCTGTGTGTGGGTGGAGCTGTGCCTGCAGACTTGGTGTCCACGGGTGTAGAAGATACAAGAAGTAAAATTCAGCTTCTCAGATGCAGCCTGTGTCTATGACCTTGGAACTCGGGACTCGGGTTTGTCCAGAACTTTGTGTTTCCACCCAGATCCTGCCATGTGGCTGGTGCTGGGCATGATGAAACCCACTAGGATCTGCTGCTATGGCCTGACCCAACACCATCACTGCCCAGACTCCACTCACCCTCTGCCCCACCTACCGGAGGCTCAGGGCTCACGTGCCAGTGGCCTGGCCCGGCCCTGGAGGCTCTAGACCAGTGGCGTGCCCTCACGCCCCAGTTATGGAGATGTTTTAGGCCCTGGGTCCAGTCAGCAGCCCCTGCTGCTAATTGGAGTAGCACACTGCTCTCTCCCCTGTGTTGCCCTTGGGGCTGGAAGTCTTTACCTTATAAATTAGCAAACGTGCCAGGTTTCCAGGGATTGGAAAGCATAGTTACGTGCATTTCCTTTTGCTTTAAAATGCTGTAGCATTGCCAACCTGTAGAGATCCTGGCTGCACACTGATACTGGTGGGTCTTTTATTAGATCTGTTTTTGACTTTTATTTTCTTCATGTTCTATAAACAATCCTAATCTTTATTTTTTTTAATTATTTGTTTTATTTTATTTATTTATTCATTTATTTTCATTTGACCAGAGAGACATGAGGGTGGGAGGGAGTGAGAAAGCAAGCCACCAGGTCTGGGACTCAAACCATGGTCAGCCATGTGGGAGGGTCCAGCACCTTAACCACCATGCCACCTGCTGGTCCCCCTAATCTTTTTTATTTTTTTCTTTGTTTGGAAAGGTTTTGCTATAGGGCACGTGCACCCGCCAGACAGACAGAGACAGAAAGCGAGAAACCCCCCCCCGGGCAGGGGGGATAGCCATGCCACAATCCCTTCTCCTCCATTCTCCTCTCAGGATCTTGGGCATGAACGCACATGCGCCCAGTGTGAGTTTAAGCCACCGGGTCGGAACTCGAACTGCGGGAGACTACGTGGGAGTCCACCGACGTAGCCATTACGCTAACTGCTGGTCCTGGTCCCCCTAATCTTTATTCTTTATATGTCAGGTGGATTTTCAAGATGTTAATGCTAGGACTCTGGCAGAAAGAAAGAGAGAAGAAGAGAAGCAGAAGCACTTGAATAAAATCTACCAGGAAAGAGCCAAGCAGGCTGAGAAGGAGATGGAAGGCAAGTTCTGGGGTTGCAAGAAGGGCCTTTCCAACACCCTGGGGGCTATCTCTGCCAGCCACTGGGCTTTGTCCAGCCTGCCCGTCTCCCTAGTCCTAGGGCCCCTTCTAGGTCCTAGTTCCCGGCTTCAGGAGATCCAAGTGAACAGACAGGCTAGGTAGGTGGAGATGGATCTGGTTGAGGGCTGAGGGATACCTGGTTCCCACTTACCCTGGAGGATCCTCTATAGGTTTTCTGTGCCTCTCCTTCGCCCTCTGGTGGTCATGTTCACCTATGACCAGCTGTTGGGAGCAGCTTCAGACAGAGGTGAAGAGACCGGAGAGTGCAGATGTGCATCCAGGCAGTGGTCCGAGTTACATGGTCTGGCTGAAGGCCCTCTTGAACGTCCATCTTATGGCCCTCATTTGCTCTTGGCTTTTTCCCAAAAAAAACCCACCGTTTCTTTCCTGGAAGCCAGCTTTTGTGAGAGGCACAAGCGAGATATGAAGAATGCAGGATACCGACCCAGGGGTGCCATGCCACCCACAGAGTGTCTTTTAAGATGGGCTGAGATGGGTCTTCTGCTCAGCCTTCAGGTCTCAGGGGCTCTTCCTGTGCCTGAAATCTTCCTGGAGGCACACTCTGGGCCCAGATGTGGCCCTGCCCAAGGCTACTTCTGGCAAACCCAGGCCTTTGAGAAGCCTACAGTATTTGTGCCCCGGAGACAACAGCAGGCTGCCAGGGGAGAGCGGGTTCAGCCCCAGGGAGATGTGGCATGATGATGGCATCATACAAACATACCTCGTTGTATTGCATTTTGTTTTATTGTTCCTCTTGGGTATTGTGTTTTTTACAAATTATGGCAACTCTGCCTTGAGTCAAAAAAAACTTTCCGACAGCATGGCTCACCTCTTGTGTCTGTGTCACATCTTGGTAATTCTCATAGTACTTCAAACATGTTTGTTATCGTATCTGCCGTGATGATGTATGTTCAGTGAGCTTCAATGTTACCATTATCCAATTGCTTTGGGGCACCATGAAGACCTTAATTGATAAATGTGTGTGTTAGTCAAACCCCTCTATTAACCCCTCATCTTGGACCCTCTCCTTCGGCTTTCCTGAGATGCAACAGTATTTTTAATTTGGCCAACTAATAACCCTAGAGTGGCCCGTAAGTGTTCATGTGAAAGGAAGAGGCAGATGTGTCTTGCTTTAAATCACAACCTAGGAATGGTTAAGTCTAACGAGGGCATTTTGAAGGCCAAGATAAGCCAATAGCCAGGCCTCTTGTACCAGTTAGCTAAGCTGTGAATGCAAGGAAAACATTCCTAAAGGAATCGAAAGTGCTACTCCATCGAACACAATCAGAAAGCAAAACAACCTTACTGCTGAGATGGAGAAGGTTTTTATGGTGTGGAGGGAAGATCAGACTAGTCACAACATTCCCTTAAGTCAAAGCCTAATCCAGAGCAAGACCCTAACCTTCTTCCATTCTGTGAAGCCTGAGAGAGGCAAGGAAGCTGCAGATCAAAGTTTGAAACTTGGGGAGGCTAGTTCATGAGGTTTGAGGAAAGAAGCCATCTCTAACGGAGAAGTGCAAGGTGAAGCAGCAAGTGCTCACATAGAAGCTGCTGCAGGTTATCCAGGGCCCTCGCTAGGAGCACCAAGAAACAGATTGTCAGTGCAGATGGAACAGCTATTAGAAGGTGCCATCTAGGGCTTTGCTAGCTAGAGAGAAGAGCGTGCCTGGCTTCAAAGCTTCAAAGGACAGGCTGTCTCGTTAGGGGCTAATGCAGCTAGTGGTTTTTAAGCTGAGGCCAGCATTCATTAACCATACCAAAAATGCCAAGGTCTTTAAGAATTACACTAAATCTACTCTGCCTGTCTCTATAAATGGGATACCAAAGCTTAGATTCTAACACATCAGTTTACAACATGGTTTACTGGATGTTTTAGGCCCACTGTTACGACCTATTGCTCAGAAGAAAAAAAAGGTTGCCTTCAAAATATTACTGATGATGTTCGTGGCCTCCCAGTAACTCTGATGGAGATGAACAGATTTCTGTTATCTCCATCCCTGCTAACACAACTTTCTTTGCAGCATGTGAATCTAGAGTCATTTCAACTTTCAAATCTTATTATTGAAGAAAAACATTTTGTAAGGCTATAACTGCTCTAGATAGTGCTTCTTCTGATGAATCTAGACAAAGTCAATTAATTGAAAACCTTCTGCAGGGCCAACCCATGGCATAGTGGTTAAGGTGGCCCATCCTGCCGCTTGAATCCCAGAACCACTGCTTGAAAAACAACCTGAGTACATGAGTGTGGATGCCCAAAATGCCAAAAGGTGGGAGAAGTGAAGGAGAAGATTGTGGCATGACCACTCTCCCACCCCCCATCTCTCTCTGGCCACTGCGTGTGTCCTCTGGCAAAATTAAAAGAAAACAAAAACAAAAAAACCTAGAAAGGATTCACCTACTTGATACCATTAAAAACATGATTTGGGGCCAGGCAGTGGTGTGGCTAAGGCAGCTGGATCCCACATGGCTGACTGTGCAGTTTAAGTCCCTGATGCAGCAGCTTGGAAAAAACATGTACTTGCCCAAAATCTTAAGGAGAGAAGGGAGGAGAAGGGACTGTGGGGTGGCCACCCCCTGTAGGTGATGCTTTCTCACTTTTCTTTCTCTCTCCTGTGAGCACACATGACCTACAGAAAAGAAAAAGGTATGATTCATGAGAAGAAATAAAAACATCAAGATTAGCAGGAGTTTGGTGGAGGCCATCAGGTGGCATGGAGTTTAAGGTGCTGGATCCCACATGGCCAGCTGCACGACTCGAGTTCTGAGAGGAGACTGGAAGAGAAGGGATTGCCACCCGCTGGGTGGTGATTTCTCATGTTTTCTCTCACTGTGGGGAGCACATGTGCCATATAACAAAATAAAAACAGGAATTTGGAAGAAATTGATTCTAACCCACATGGATGACTTGAGAGGTTGAAGGCTTTGGTGGAAGAAGTAACTGGAGATGTGGCAGAAAAAACAGGAGCTAGAGTTAGAATTAGAGGGCTGGACTCATGGCCCGGGAGTAAGGGAGCCGGATCCCACATGGCCAACGGAGCGATTTGCATCCCAGACCTGACAATTTGAAAAACACACCAGGCGCGAGTACTCGAGTCCTCCAAATCCCAACAGGTTGGAGAAGCAGAGGAGGAGAAATTACAGTATGACCATGCCTGTTGGGGTTTTTTTCCCTTCCTCACTCTCTGTTTCTGTTTGACAAGTACACGCACCCTCCAGCAGATTAAAAAAAACAAAAAACAGAATTAGAAGCAGAGCCAGAAGACCGACTGAGTTGCTGCAATCTCAGTAAAATTTTAATGGACGAGTGGTTGCTTCTTATGGATGAGCAAGGAAAGTAGTTTCTTGAGGTGGAGTCTGTTCCTGGTAAAGATGCTGTAAACATTGTTGAAATGACAAAGGATTTAGAAAATATTACATAAGCTTAGTTGATAAAGCAGCAGCAGGATTTGGAAAGACTGACTCCAGTTTGGAAAGTTCTGCCCTCGATAAAATGCTGTCAGACAGCATCACGTGCTATAGACAAAGCTTTCGTGCAAAGAAGAGTCTACTGATATGGCAGACTTCATTGTTCCCTTATTTTAAGAATGGGCACAACTGGGACCGGCGGTGTGGTGGGTTAAGGCGCTGGACACTCCCATGTGGCTGACCAGGGTTCAAGTCCTGAATCTGGTGGCTTGCTTTCTCACTTCCTCTCTCTCTCTCTCTCACTCTCACCCTCTATCTCTCTCTGGTCAAATTAAAAAATTAATGAATGAATAAATAAAATAAAAAATAAATAATTATTTTTTAAAAAAAAGAATGGGCACAACCTCAGCCGACAGCCACCACCACCCTGTGCAATCAGAAGCCATCAACACTGAGGCAAGACCCTAGACCCTCCACCAGGAAGGCTATTAGAACTCATAGAAGGCTTAGATGATCATGAGTATTTTCTATTCAAAGCAGTAAATTATTTTTAAAATAAAATCGGTGTATTGTTTTAAGAGAGAATGCTATTGCTACCTAATAGACTACACTGTAGCATAAACATAACTTGTGTGCACTGAGAAACCCAAAACCTCGTGACTCCCTTCATTGCAAATTCACTTTATCGTGCTGTTCACTTGATTGTGGTGGTCTAGAACCACGATATCTCTGCAGTATCTCTAGGTTTGCCTGCTGCCCCAGGAAGGAGGTGTAGCCTCACACTGACCACTCGCTGTCCAGAAGTTTCTCGTGCGGTGGCACGAACGTGGCCTCCCGTGAGCTGCCGGCACAGCACAGTGCTGCCTGAGGTCATTACTCAGCAGCGTTGGAGAGATTGACCTCCCAGACCCAGCCGCTGAGCTGGGTGGTTTATCAAGCAGTTAAGCTGCTGTGATACACGCACCCGGGCGGTGGGCAGCAGCATGCCTGGTGCTGCAAAGGGATTTCCTTGGGGAGCAGGCCTTGGGCAGTTTTGAGTGAAGTGACGCTTTTTTTTTTATGACACAGTAAGCAAGTGTCTCAATTTTTTGGCAGAAATGTCTGAAGAAATTGAATCCTGCTTAACAGAAGTGGAGAACTGCTTTAGGCTGCTGGTGCCATTTGATTTTGGCCCGAGCGTGGAGGCCGAATTCCTTGACATGGCTCCTGGCAAGTCCAGTGAGGGTGTTCCTTGCTCCTCAAGCCCAGGCTGGCCAGCCCATCACCAGTCTGGCTTGCCTGAGCCTCAGGACGAGGAACAGCCATGCTGCAGCAGGGACCTCCCTACCTCGGCACAGTACCCAGGAGCTGCCAGAGGTGGGGCGTCGCCACCTCAGACGGCTGTGGAGAGCTCCTCAGAAGACGAGGACGAGGACAGCAACCAGGAGGAGTTTGTGCGGAGACATGGCCTGGGTTCACACAAGTACACGCTGGATGTGGAGCTCTCCTCAGGTACCTGCCGCCTGGGGTGCTGCTCAGTGCCCCACTGCCCTGAGTCTGGGCGGCTGGTCGGGCCACTCCGCCAGGGTCTCCCACCCCTCCAGTGCCATCCCACCCAGGGTGTCCCAAGGCCAAACAGCCTTGGATCTCCAATGGCCTCCTTGGGAAGGGCTGGGTTGGGGTACCATCAAATTTTTCCTTCTCTTTGGGCCTTTGTACTGGGACACACGTCATGGCCATGGGGACACCTCTGAGAGCTCACATACTTCACTGCTATCCCATGGTGGCCCCAACCCCATCGATTGATCCCCAAGGTCTATGTAAAGTGCTAGAAGGAGGGGTGTTGAGACCTCCTTGTAGCTCATGGTAGGAACCAGGCCTGATGCTCTGAGTGACTGGGGAGTCCTGGGGCAGTATGCAGGTCTCTTACGGTCCCATGCAGCATCAGGGATCAGGCATCCTCTACCCTTGCCTGAGAGGAAAATGTGGCCAAGGAATGGTTTCTTGCTCTGTTCATGATGGCTGGGATGGCAACAAAGCCACATTTGGCCCTGGCACTTTGTGGGGTGCAGAGATGGGGTTTCTGTCACCTTCGGCTCCAGCTTCCTCACATGTACACCTATTCCCCACATGGGATGGGGGGTTGCTGGGGACTCTGGAGGTATGTAGCAGCTTGGGATTGCTATTTTTGGGAACTTTTTCCTTTGAAGGCAAGTGCAGTGGGCATTCCTCCACCAGGGACAGGTGGGCTTCCGAGCTGCAGAGATCTTGGGCCACGACAGGCAGCTAGCCCTGAGAGCTGTTATAGTGCCTCAGGTGGCCCTGGAGGGCCTGTGAGGCATGAGAAACCTTCAAGGCAGGCACACCGGAAAGCCACAGCAGTGTTCATGCTTGGCCCCTCCCCAGACACCTCTGCAGTGCAGAGGACATGCAAGAGAGCAGTGCCCGTCAGGAAAGGTCCACGTGGGCGGGGAGCAGCCTGGTGACGGGCAGCTGCTGAGGACACTGCGCAGGGCCTCTGTCCTGAGGGCAGAGGAGAAGGCCATGTTGTGGAGGTCATTTGTGGTCTTCCTCTCAGGGTGGCGAGGGGTGATCCCAGCTGTGGTGATTGAGTCACAGGAGTCGTAGCCACAGGTGGGGGGAGGCTTTGGTGTTAATCCAGAATCATTAAACAGTAAATTTCCATCGTGGTTTCAGGTTTGGGTCCACTGTTGACAGTGCCCAGAGTCGGGGATAATGGCCTCTGCTGCACAGTCTGACCTGGGGACTGGAAGGTGTAGGCTGGCATCCTTCTGGTGACCCCTTGTGCTTTGTTCCAGATGCCCTGAAAGTGCAGGAGAACGAGGACAACCTGGCCATCGTCCACGCAGTCCGCGATGCACTCAAGCTTGTCCGGAATAAGTACCTACCAGCCGTGTGCTCCTGGGTCCAGGTAAGGCCCGGAAGCTGGCCTTGACCTTTAGGCATGCACACATGGGGGGGGCATATTCCCCCCCAGCCCTGCCCTGAGGCCAGGAGCCGGGGCAGGGTGAGAGTGTAGAAGGTATGGAGCCTGTCAGGTGTGGGGGACAGGCTGATATTTCCTCCCTGGGAGGGCTCTGTCTTTTACCCAGGGTCCTTGTCTTCTATGTATTATAGGCCGTGCCATATGCCTGAATGGCCCAGTGGGCTCCTTGGGGCCTACGTGAGATTTTTGTGATCTGTCCGTTGTCTTGCAGCGGTTCACCCGCACAGGGACCCACGGTGGACACCTGAAGCATGCCATCGATCTGAAGGTGAAACTAGAGCTTGCTCTGAAGAAATACAAGGAGCTTGACCTGGAGCCTGAAGGAGGTCACAGGGTGAGTCCCAGCAGTCTGAGCTCAGCTGCTCTGAGCAAGGAGGGATCCCAGGGGCTTTAGAAAGTTTCTGGTTACTTCCTCACTCATAGCAGACGAGAACTAGAGACCCTGGGCTGGGCTCTGTCCTCAGTGGGGGGCTGTGAAAGGGGTGGGGGAGATGGGAGAGGCCATGGGTGGAGGTGGGTTCTGGTTCTAGGGGCCTGGTAGTTCCTAGCTGCATCCTGACCCCACGGAGCCTCCAGAGGACCTGCCACGCCAGCGAGGGCTTCTGTGAGCGCAGGATCACCACCAAGGTGGACCTGATGCGCCAGGCTGTCAGGGGGTGTCCAGTCGTCCTGAGTTGTAGCTGAGGGTACCAAGCACTGAGCACCACACTGGGAAAGGCACCTCTAGGGTCCCATAGAATCAGACAGTGCCCCTCCGAGGGTGGTGGCTAGTGAAGTAGGCAGGGCTTCTGGGAAGCCACCAGCAGGTAAAGCATCCTGTTCCAGCAGGGATTGGCGTCAGCCAGGGCGAAAA